CTGATTTATAGGAAAATTGATTGAAATATGTATTTATATTTTTAAACATATTAATCTGTACTAAAATGCTAAATAATACAAAGAATGAAGTATGAACAATTTTTCGTTTGTTGTAAAAATCACAATGATTTCGGGTGCCGTCTAGAGTAGTACATATATACAGGGTGATCCAACTAACGTAAGACACTCATTTTCTCTGTAAATATGAGTATTTGAGAATTATTTTTCCTTAACTTTTAGGTACATATTTTACTACATTTTTCAACATTTTGAAAATTTTTATCACCAATTTTTATAAGCCAAAAAGCGGGGTTTTTGGTTTTTTTTGAAACGAGTGTCTTACGTTAGTTCGATCACCCCGTATATATATATATATATATATAAATAATTTTTACAAATTTCTTATGGGGTATTTTGATTGCCATATTATATCACTGTGTGACCGGACCACCCCGGGACGGATTGTTTTTTTTTTGTGTTTATATGCATTGTCATAACGACTCTCGTGGGGGATGATCGTGTCGTTTTGTTTGAACATAATTTGCGTCTGAGCTTCGGCCAAATGTGTGTATTAACTCTCGGCCGTTGTATAATATATATAAGCTCGGAGGTAATTTTTTTATTTATTTTTTTTAATAGTTCTTGTTTAACGCGCAGCATAATATAATACACAGCGTGTCGTACAAAAACGGAATGCTCGTTTGGGGAGACAAAATTGAAAAGAAAAAAGAAACTAGGTACTGTTTTCGGCCACCCCGGCACAAAAGTCGGAATAATGTATTAAAAAAAAAAAAATGAAAAATAAAAAAAAACTCCTAATATTAAACAATAGATTATTGTTAATGACATAATAGGCTCTCGGGGTGGCGGAACGGCGTGAAAACTAACAGTTCCAGTCACCCGCGGCGATTTGACAGACGGCTAACGTCAAGTCCGTTTAGTACCTAATACAATAATAAGAATAATAATAATGACATTAACCGTTTTGACACCACCCTCGATTGCTCTAGGAAAAAAAAATGTTAAGCTTTTCATTACCATTATTATAGTCGTCACAAGCGAAAATAACATAATAGGGATAACAAGCCGTTGTCCAATGCACAATGATAATTTTATTATAATATTAAGTAGATAGTTTCTTTACAACGACAACAAAAAACACACCTTTTTTATCATCTTGATTTGAGAGATAGCTTTTTGTGAATAGGAACACAAAATGCTACAAACTAATAGTGAAAAGATACTTTCAGAACTTTATCTGTTATAGTTCATACTCACTACAGTGTTCTGAAGTTGTGTATCATAAAAACACAATATTTTTGTCCCTAAAATGTCATACTTTTAAATTAATGTCTTTACTGAGTAACAGGATAGACAACCTCTTAATGTCAAATAGACATCAGCAGTAATCAATTAAATATCGAAATGTGTTACAATAATACAAAACTGTTGTTGAGTTCTAAGTGAACCGTTAAATTATGCCACATTTTAAAAAACTATCAAAGAGAAACGATTAAAATAATATTGAACAACTTAGAAGCCAATTCATGACAACCTGGCATGGTTTTTAAAAATAAACAAATTTAATGACATTTCTGGCATAACCGTTTTACTGTTCAGAGATAACCTAACTTTTATATATAATACACTCAAAGTGGTTGTCAAGTATCGACCAGTCAATGTTTTCATTACATCATTCTTTTGATTCAATAGGTAATTTCAGTAATTTATGTCGCTGTAATTATTCCATTGGGAAAAAATTAATAAATCTCTGAAATATCTACATTCCGGATTTGTTCAACGACAATGATATTATATAATACAGTTGCTACGCGTGTACGGTAGATAATAAAATAGTATACTTTAATGCGCAGAGGGCAAAAAAAAAAGATAAAAAATATGTTTAAAGTGAGACATCCGATTAAACGCACACGGTTCAGAAAAAACACACCAGTCTTTGTCGGCTCGCCAGTCGCCTTTTTTTCAGGCTCTCGTCTCGACGGGATCGTATAAACACTCAACTTCAACTGTATTATTATCATTATACCATCGTGTACAGTGTGTTGTGCACCACTCGTTGAGTACAATGGGGGGAAAAAAATAATAATAACAATAGTAAAAAATGTGATCGTATTATGTTTTTCAACGCGTAAAAATTGAATATAATATATTATAATAAAATACTATATACAGGAAAATCGGTTAAGTATAATAATTATTATACACACAATGGCCGCCGTCGCACAAAATGGCGTCGACGTCCCTGTCCGGTCTCAACCCTTGGCCCGCCACCCTCGTTCCCTCGTCCCTTTTCCCCTATCGATTTCTCCTTCTCTCGCACCCCACCCCATCATGCCCCCACGTGAGTGAGATGTTACATACTCGACTGGGTCCGTGTGACAATGACAAAAAAAAAAAACGAATAATAATAATGTAATATAAATCCCCTCGAGGAGAAAAAAGCCACCCTTATACGCTTACATAGTTAAATAACATTGTGTTACCCAGTACGTTATTTTACCAAATTGAAAAGGTCCCTTTATTTTGGGCCATGTCCACCCATAGGATTATATCATCCGAAGAAAACCCTCCCCTGAACTCTCAGCCCAACGACTTCCCCTGGAGGGTAGTAAAAATATTGTACAACAAACACACACAAAGGGCGTCTCGCATCCCGTCGTCCATGTTGTCACTACGATATGTGTACAATATATTATTAAACCGTATCATAATACCTAAGAGATCTATATAGATCTTATATATAATATAAGTATTGTATGAATAATGATGATGACAATAGCGAATGTTTGTTACCTACAAGGGGCGCGTGTCGAGTGTGTAAGATACATAAGTAAGGTTTTGACAACCTAAATCGGATGGACCATCAACACCGTCTTGGGTGTAATGGTGTACCATTATTTTGAGGGAGGGGAGGAGGTAATTTGAGGCGTTATCAGCATTAAAGATCCGCATATGATAACCACCACGTTTAAAATACCAGATTGAAACCAGAATTATTATGGTACAGTACAATATACTTATCTAATGGTACTATTAAACTGTGAGCGTTTAGTTGTTGTTAACATTATGTTCGTTTTATTCTAGCTGGATAGAAGTGTTGGGCGGACGAGGTGGAATGTGGCAACAGGGGTGGAGAGTGACAGAGGGGTGGAAGGTAAAATCGATAAAACTTTTTTAATTTGATTGTTTTTATCTGATTACGAGGTCGAGCAAGAAATTAGATCAACGCACTAGTTTGACGACAGCAGTGAACGTTGTTGCTGTTACAAAAAAATGTTTTTTTATTGTCGGTTCAATTGCATTGAAAAAAAATTAGAATATTGAAGCTATTGTTATTACATTATACAACAAGGTTTTGGTACAGGAACCGGAATATATCCAAATTTGTCCGCTGCAATGTGTTCTATAAATAAACTCCTACGTTGTTAACAACTAACAAAAAAAAAAAAAAGAGGAAACTAAAAAAATATGAAACTATGACAGTATGCAAAGGTGGGACCAAATGAATTATTGAAAACGTTTAATTTTGTTAAAACTTAAAAAAAACTAGTCAAAAATAGTTTAATGTTAACTGGTCTTTGTTCTTTCAATTAATATTAATAAACTAGTCTAGAAAGGTAAGTTTGGTTTTTAAAAAATAATACATACCTATTACAATCGTTGGTTTTATTTCCAATTAATATCAGTAAAAAAAAAAATGGTTAATTGATATGAAAACTCGTTTAATAATATATAATATCAATTATCAATTATATAGTTTAATACGTCGATGACCTTTGAGAATTTATTTGATTTTTGTAAATTTTAAGCTTTAAAGGAATTTTGTTTTGTGTATTTATATGATTTTTTTTTAGCTATCCCAAATATTGGAAGCAAACGACACAAGGCCTGAGAGAATCGTATTTTTGCAATGACAAGTTATCCTTTGACCGTGGGAACCGGTAGATAAAATAATACTATCATTATAATAAAGAAATAAAATAAATATTTACAAGTCATTGCCATTTCACATACCGAACTCGTCCAGATAAAAACCATTACAGTATTGTACACATATATATATATATATATTGTTTTTGTTATCTTTTGCGTTTGACCTACAATAGTGGTGACCGCAAATCCCCTATATTTGACCGTTTAATGTTATAGTACTTTGATAAAACAATAATTGTACTTATCGGAACGGACGTTGGCGCTTATCGAACATAGTGTAAATTTGTAACATACAAAATAGTATTTATTTTAAGTATTTTAAGTTATACAAACGTTTCAATAATAATACTAACAACACTGTTCAACTAAAAAAAAAAAACCCTATGTAAACTCAATTTTGAGAAATAACTGCACAAACACCCCGAAAAAGCAACACAACGGTTTCAATTACAAATTAAGTAATAAGTTTAATTACAATTACACAGTTTACTGAAAAGTTAAAATCAATTTAAATCTACTCAGATTATTCGAGAAAACAAATATTTCATTAGCCTTTTGTTCAAATAACCCTTTTTAAGAGGTTAATTTTTAATTGATTCTAAAAAATAGAGTTGAAGATTGAGTATCTTAAATATTATACTCAAGTCAAACGGTTTACATTAACTCAAACTATTATTAAATCGGTTATTTCGACCATTACTTACTTTAACATTATCTCTTTTACCAAGAGATTTTTTCCAAGAAGGGACCCTTTGGTCGTTGAAAAATACATAAAAGCTTAAATAGAGTAAAAAAAAAAAAGGATTTTTAAATTCCCATTATTAAAAACTATCACAGAAAATAACCAACAACTAATGAAATTACAAGTCGTTTAATAGTTTTTAATGATGTTTAATTAAAGGTAGTTTTATTTTTCTTAGACTTCTTTGTAACTTTAAACATTTCGGCAAAGCGATGCGCTTTGCGTTTTCAGTATCAAAAATCAATTAAATCGAATTACATTAATTGAATTCAAACTGTAATTGGTTTAAATAAACGTCACTCACCGCTCCTCGTTCTTTTTCGAAATCACAAACACCGTTTGTGGGCTGATGGTAAGACGCGATAGGCATGTGCGGGGCAAACGTCAATTGCAAATTGGTTCCGGTGGACGTGAAGGCCTGTGCATATTGGTAATAAAAAATAATAAATTAATTATAGGTATAACTTTGGTTAATATTTGTTTTCATATATCCTAAAAGTACATTACTAAAAGAAATTCGCAATAAAAAAAACAATCCAAGTCAAAAATATCAAATTTTCAGGAACAACGTCTAAATGTTTATAAATTCCTTATAAATAACTTTAAATTCCTTAATTCATTAATATAATACAATTAATACAATAATATTATATTTTATTTTATTTTATTATTCATGGTTGATTCATTAAGGATAAAACACTCATTTTTTCTTAAAATTATTACAATATTGTAGTTTTTCTTTTTGAAGCCATTTTTGTTTTTGTTATTCTACAACATTATAAAATTATTAGGTAAATATTTACCTTTTATTAGTATTTTTCAGAGTTCTACCAAGTTTTAAAACTTAAATTGTAACGTATTTATTTAATAAACTTTATAAATTAAAAATTATTTACTGAAAATGTTTGAATAAGTGTTTTATTCTTACAATAAATCATGCTGCATTATGTTATATAATCTTATATTTTTCTATTGATTATATTATTCTATCTATATCTGTATATTCCTATTATTTATATTAGATCAACGACCTTGCTGGTACCGATTTGCTAAAAAAAACAACCCAACACATTTTGATTTAAAACCTTATTACAATAATAATTTTACTAGTTCTGAGATCCTAATTAGTAAAAATAATATTTATATAGTCTACAGTCCCGTTTATTAAACAAATCTGACTAGGTAGTCCTTTAGACGTTTTTCAAAATAATCTTCTTGTACTTTGTTTGTAAAAGATTGACGATAGATTTTCAAAATTTAAACCTTTTTTTTAAGCAATTCCAAACCTAATCAAATATCTACATTTAGATGCAAAAGTAAGTCCTGTAATTTTTTGAAATTTCATTTTTTTGGTATTGTCGTTTAGAAGTATAAATATTTGTTTAAACATTGGTCGTGGGTTTGGTGCAAAACAGTTGAACTATAACATATTTTGTTTGAAGCTTGGAAAACAATTCATTAATCAATAAACAGCTAATAAATACACTTGAAAGAGAAGACGGGTTTATCAAAAAGATATTATTTTTCACCAGACAACTTCTAATTGGCATACTGACTCGACATTTGTACACTTTCTATGAAATTCAATTATCTTTAATTGGCTGCGCTTCGGTGTTACGCTTTGGAAATTATTATAGCCAAAGCGTTATTCAAAGCAAAATGCAAATGAACACTTTTTTAAATTCTACAAAATAAAATAATAATCCCGCCTGTTGCATCGTTCAATTAAAATTATTATTTAGAATTATTGTGTATTTGCAATAAAAAAAAAAAAAGAAGAAATACTTTACAACGATAAGTATTTTAATTTATTTTTATTGTAATTTATTTTAATGGTAGTACTCATTTTGCTTTACCTGGCAGCATATTTTTTTATAATATAATAACAATTTAAATCTTTACCTACAGTATTAACAACTATTTTATACTTATATACATTTCAGACCTAACCTAACCTAAACGAGATACGGGGGGGGGGGGCAACTTTTTTTAATGATCAAAACTTAATATCCAATTTATATGATGTGCAATATCTTACAATATCCGCGTGACCTTCGCGACATCCGATTTGGAATCTACTCTGGCGTTCCTCGTGCGGTCTGTCCCTATAGCCGGTGTACCGTATCTGAAAAAAAAACAAATCATTAATTATCATTAGTGTCATGTAATAATTGTGAACAATAATTAGTGTAACACAGCATATTATATTCAACGGTTGGTGTGTACTTAAACATGACTGGCGGGTTCTTTATAATATTAAACGAGGACTACAATATAATATTATATCAGGTACAGGCGAGGTGTTCGGGTTATGTTGTTACACAATATATTATTCCCCGGTTAGTAATTGGTAAAAACGCTAATAGTTGACCTGACTAATTCGGTTAGTCAGCAGTTGATGACCTAAAATATAGCGCCTTAAAGTGAGATCTGCCAACTCGGGGAAAGTCAAATGTGTTATGATACAACAAGTGAAATCGAATAATAATCAAGCGAACAGATGACTCAGGTGATATAATTGGTATGAAAAATATCAGAAATAAATGAGCGATCCCCGACAGAAAACGAACACTTGAGGGCAACAACAGAGTTGACTATAAAATTGGTTTTTGCATGGGAAAATGTGTACTGAAGTAACAAAAAACAATTTAGTCTAATCTGTAAAATATTAGTCAAATAATAATATTAATGACAACCAAAAAGTTTTATGTACAGTTGACCCTACTCAACATTGAGTTAAGTCGCCTAAATAAAACACCATAGGCGCAAATACGGGGGGGGGGGGGCTAGGGTGGGCTTAGCCCCCCAAAAAATTAGGTTATGCATACAATCTTGAAATACAAAAATATATTTTAAAAAATGTCCAGCCCCCCCAAATTAAAAATTGAAATTGCGCCTATGTAAAACACAGTCGACTCAATTATAAATAATATATTATGTTAAGTCAAAAATATCGTTTATTCCAAAGTCAAAATATGCAAAATTTTGTTATTACTTTTTTGTGATTTAAAAATTCAAGTAAATGAGTTCTTGTGATTTGTACAGTAGAAATTCTCGTTTAAATATATAAAGTTTTTTTTTATTTTGCGGCTATTATTTAATTTTTGTAATATCGATCACGCATAAAAAATAGTCTAATCATTATTAAATCCTTAAAACTTAAATCCAACAAAACCGTAGATCGTCTTAGGTACTTATCTGTGATTTCCCCCCCCCCCTAAATTACATCACTATTATGCTTATTGAACAAAAAAAAACACGTTGTACACGCTGTATAATTTTCTGTGTTTTTTTATGTACATAACAAATTAATCAAACTAACTATTTAAAAGTTTCTAAAATATCTGAGTATGTATAGTTCTGTGCCCCGACTGAGCAAACAGCTATAATTCTTGTGGGCCGACATAAATATTTTTACAACGTTTTAAACTGTTTATAAATGAATTTGTTGTGAACTTGTTGTTCAATATTGTCAAACGTAATACGTTTCAAATAGCCTCGAGCCTTACTATAATCATCAAAACTCATTTAACGATCAACTAGGTATATCTAACGCGTAGGTAGGCATATTAACTAACAAGGTCGGGGGAATTTATGTGATTCATCGCGGAAAACCTGTATTCCGTTCTCCAGATTTACGACGGTGAATCGATTATAGCGGTTATCATAATATTCATTAGACACTATGACAACATTGGCTAATACAAAACAGCTGTTAGCCGAACACCTATATAGGTGCTCGTTTCCTTTTACCACAATAATCTGACCTTCGCAAAAAAAAAAAAATAAACACTGAAAAAACTACAAAACAGAAAAACCGGTCGTTTTGGTAGTAATAAAAAACCAAAAAACTAGTGTAAATATATCAAAGCGACACTGCGACCTCACACGACCGCAGGAAATCAATTTGCATATCATTTTCTGTTCAATTACACAAAAATCTCAAGTGTTGCATTTGTCCATCTACTCCAGCAATAGTATTTTAGTCCATTCTCATTCAAACACTCACTTCCACAAAATATGTTTATGCCGGTTACAAATTCAAATCATTATTATACCGCATAGGTATGAGATCCGATCTACTTGTATAAATCAACTTACATTAAAGCTAAGACGAATCTCTATCTTGCCACTATAAGTGTGTAAGTAATATTTTGTTGTATTTTCCTATTCGCAAAGAGCTCTTAGAATTGTCTAAATAGAATTTTTTTTTTCATTTAAGTTACCATATAAATTATTGTTATTAAATTATAAGAAACTGGAAAAAACTGGGAGTCTCTTTTTTTTTTTACCCATAAAAATATATGTATTTTATTCCTGACAAGATGCACAACTGTTGTAGGCGCCATAAAAAAAATCACAGCAAAATCGATTAGTATAATCTACAGGTAATATAATAATAATAAAAACCCATCCACCTACCGGACAAATGATGACAAAAAAAAATGTAAATATTATATTATATAGGTTTTTTGACCGAACGAGGGTCTATTATTATTATTTTATATTTTTTTTAGTGTAATATTATTATTTATTTATATATATATATATATATATATATATATGTATATACAGTACAGGTTTGACTGTACCGTGTAAATGTGAGATGGTGCGAGATCTTATGTGTGTGTGAGGACAATAAAAACTCATCCCAAAATTCCAACGACAACCTATATAATATACCTATAATAAGTACCCTGAGGGCCTTTGACCATTATTGCGTTGCCGACCATTTCTTATATGTATAATGTAATCGGCGTGATGTGTAATATTTTTTTTTCTCTCCGTCTTCTCGGGTCCCGTTTGAATATAATAGAGAAAAAAATATACTATTATTATATATGTATATGTTGGAAACGGCAATAATTCTCGACCGTGACGCGATAAATAACAGTCTTAACATTATACATATTATGCATCGGCCGAATCAGCGGGGGGGAGGTGCTGTCCTCGTCCCCGAGGTCCTCGAAAAATGGTTTTTAAACACACCGTAAAATACACACACGGTCGGTGCACGATTGCGTACAAACGAGTCGGATTACACACGGTGATAAAGTCACAGAAAAAAAAAAAAACTACAAAATTCTACAGAAAAAATTGACCTTTTTTTTTTGAGATATCATACGGTTCGAGGAAGAGTCCCGGACCCTGTCGGATGTGCTTAATAATCGTAGTAGGTACATCAACGACAACAAAAAAAACCCAGTGGGTTTAGCGCACAGTTGGCCACAGAATTCAATAACAGTAGTAACTGCTGAAAAATGTACTCTATTAAATCTAAAAAAAAAAAAAAACTGTGTATGCATTCGAGATTGCTAAATTCAAATTTTGGTCGAGGAGGGTATTTTTTTTTTACTTAAGACTTCATTTTGTGTGTAACACGTTTACTTGTACCTACATTTGGACTGTATCTAAGAAATAATACTGACAAAAAAATATCTGTGGTTAGCTGTAAGTAGCCGGCGCTGTCCAAACCGAGTGCAGCAAGAAAGTACCATAAAGTGAGGTCCAGTGTCCACAGATTCGCATCACTTTCAGTTATAACAATATTCCTGTAGACACGTGACTTCCCTGAATAGGTAAAATTTAAATTAGAGGCTACTGCCGTAATAGGGAAAGCCAAATAAATATTCCTTACACATTTTAACTAGATCCGACTAGTTTTCTTGAAAATATAGCAAGTCAAAGTTGTTAAATCGTCTATTTATGTTATTTATACGGTTTTTAAATATGAAGGATTGAAATTGATCGTTAAATTTGTGATCTAAATATAGGTGGGACCGCCTCGGTCATAGGTCTTTGTTATAGCTCCACTCTGGATCTACCTTCAGCGTCTAATTATCAGACCTAAATCTACATCTAAAAAAGCTAAATAAAGAAAAAGTTTCCATTTCTTCTGCGGGGGAGGGTTTATGGTATTTGTGTGATTAGTCAACGTTTTTAGGAAAATATTCTTACTATAAAGTATTAGGTCATAAAATGTCATTAAAAAATACCTACATGGGAACTTTTTTTATTGTGCTTGGTTTTGGACCGTAGGTACTTAGGTTTAGATTGTACTTGGTGTTTGAACTGAGCTGGATTCTTGCTGTCCACAGATATAATAAAATGACCGACTAGATAATTTTAAAACCAATACAAAAGGTACTTGAAGTTAGGTAGGTATACTCACGTCACTCTCGCGACTCAGGCGCCTGAACAGTTCGTCCGTTTCGAATTTGTTCCTCTGGTCGGGCACCACCCTGGGCATTTTAAAAACGAAACGGGGGGGTTTAGGGGCTTGCTGCTCGTACAGGCCTCCCCCGCACATGGGGTCGAACGGCAACATGCCGGCCGCCATCGAACCCAAATCGTTCATCATCAACATTATAATATTATCTAAGACGATGTGTTCGCGATGCTGGTGAATACAGGGCGGCGGCGGGGTGTGCCCAGAACGACGGACGGACCTTATATGTCGGGTTAATGGGAATTTTTTTTTTAATTTTTTTAATAATTAATAATTTCTATTAGGGGAAAATGTGCACGATCGACCTCGGCAAACGAGCGCACGACGGACGGAGGACGTGTATAGCAAACGGCACGACGACCCGGGACCGTATGCGGTGAGATCGGATTTGAGTGAGAGAAAAAATAAAAATTCCAACAAAAAAACTACCGCCTTCGACCACCGGCCAATCGGAACCGCTGGTGGGCGTGTTCCGGTAAGATCCGCCCGACGTCGGCCCCTCTCGGTCTTAGGGTGGTGTGGATGTACACTACAATATATATATATATATATATATACATATAATAAATATACAAAAAACATTATGCCTACACACTCATATTGTATATATACAAAAGACAGACGGAAGGGCCCTTTAATGAAATCCGGAACTATATGTACACACACACACACACACACAGAAAAGACCTCATCGCTTCAAATCCGCGTACAGTATTATTAGTGTTATTATTTATCACTCCCGGCTCTTCCACCCTCGACCCCAGACCCCTTTTTAAGAAACCCGCCCCTCGCCGACCCCGAGTACGCTAAAGACATTTCGAGCATTCCCACAACGGCACAGTGTTTTACATAATCCTATAACCTATAGGAGAACCCCGTTCGTGTACCTGCCTAAAATGATGAACATTCGTAATATTACTTAAAAAATCAAATTTCAAAATTATTCCAAAGCGTTAGGTACAACGTGGAAATGTAAAAACCATCAAAGACTATAATATTTTTATAAAAAGATCAATTTCGATAACGGCATTTCGGTCACTGTGTTTTAGCCGGAAGCCACGCTGCTGAACTTTTAACTAAATAGGGGGGGGGGGTTATGCATTCCCCAAAAAAACTTGACCGGGGTAGGGTTTTTGTAACAAAAAAATATCTTGTTGTTGCTCACTTTTTTTTTACAAATTTCAGAAAAATAAATATATTATTAGGTGTATTATGCAAATATTAGAAATTGAGAAGCATCCGTGGGAAAGCCAAAAACTATATTAAATATAATTCATTTTCAATTTATTTACTAATTATCATATTATATTTAATAAAGTTATTAAAATTGAGATTATCCACAAATTTACCGGTAAAAAGGTACAAATATTGAATCTTAAGGATTGCATGAGGTCTGTTTTTTGACGTTTTAGACTAAAAAAAACAGACGAAATTTCGACTACTTAGGATTGTCCGATTTCAATTCTAAAAAGACATACGAGTCCTTTGGCAACTTAACTAGGTTGTAAGTAGGCAACAAGTTTTTGATTTTTTGCAATTTTTTGCAATTTTTTATGTAAAAAAAATTGGGTATTAGTTCTAGTGTTATATTTAAAAAATAGTAAATACGCCAAATAACTCAAATCTTTTAACATAATTGAAATTGGACCATCTAAAGTAATCGAAATTTTGTCTGGTCTAAAATAAACCAAAATGGCTTTAACTCATAGGAAGTTCTATCAAAATATTAGTGCAGAAACATTACAATAATAAATCTTTTTTTTTTTTTAATCCTCAAACTTTATCCAATTTAAGAAAGTCCTCCGTCATGGTTGAAGAATGATGGTCATGGTAAATATAGACAAAAGATATGATAGTCGGTAAATAATAAATAGTGACATAGGTCAATAGGTTACGCCATCTAGGATTTAACGTACATACCAATTTGTTCATAAGTGGGTTACTTCGATTTGAATGAACCAAATATTATACTTAGGGCGCCGTCTGACGGGTTTTTCTAGGTTTGTTTGAGAATTGTTACATGAGGCTATAAAGGGTTAAACCTCACTGGACCGATTTCTCAACTCTATTAACAAAATATTGTACTTAAAGGGTACTTTATTAGGCCAAACTATAAAAAAAATTACCCCTTCTCCTTTAAAATCGATGCCAAAATTTTTACAAATTGCTCAACTTAATGTTATATAGCTTCTTTCTTAAAAAAGATATGGTGCCATCTTGAGCTTTTCATAACAATAGAATTTTTGTCCATGAGGGCAAAACTAAAATTGCTGTCTGGGTATGATTTATCATATTTATGGTTGTATGGTATAATTCATCTTTTTTTTTTGTGAATTTTTCCTTTAATAAATTTGTCAGTGCTACGCGGTTTACCTATTGCGAAATTCGTTAACAGTACGTGTCAGACTCATTTTTTTGTATTTTTTATTACTTTTTAACAAGTGTTCACTGAAAAACAAACGACGACAACGCCTCTACATAGCCAAGAGCTCAATACATCTGCTGAGTATGCACACATGCTGTTCGATTGCAAAAACACCGAAGTGGCTTCTTCGTTTTATTGACTTAGTCGTTTCGCGAATTCGGCCGCGTTCTATGGCCTAAGTACAAAACAACTTACGTAGGTATAGTGGATATGATTTTGTAAACAATTTTCCAAGATTTATAAATTTAAAAAAATAAATTCACCGGTACGTTGCCGGGAAAAGAACAAAAAATTGGTTCCTTTTTTAAAATTTTATTTATAATTCACATATACAAATGGGTGAAATATACAAATTAAGACATGCCCTAATCTGTTGTATACGTTTTTTTTTTTATTTACCATTATATTAATGGCTATCCCTGCATACTGCTGCCGGGTGGTGCGTTGCTGCTTTGGGGTTGCTCGAAGAAAAACCAGGCGTGGCTCACATTCTGCTTCAGTAGTGGCCCCAAGGTAGGAGCTTCTTTGTTGTAGCTGCCCGATTCGTATTCGCTCAGGTCTGTGAATCCCGACAGATGACCGAAATTTACCAAGAAGGTTTTGAATATTTCTTTGATATCGTTTTTGTAATTAATGTCCGGATTTTCTACTCTACAGTAGTTGTCGAAAATTGCAATGAGATTTTCCACGGGCGTCAAGGGTATATGGTGCTCTTCGAACTTGCGGTGGATAGCGTACAACACTCGCTTCAACAGTTGGAAATGTTCACAGGGCGAGTATGACGGTTTGGCCAACATCGTCTGGCTCAAGTGGGCGAAACGACACATAATCGTCACGCCCACGCTTTCCACCACGTTCAACGCCCTGACGACGGCTTCATAAGAGTACGGGTCGTCTTGGCCCGGCGGTGGTTCCGGATAGGCCTCCAAGTGTGCCAACACACTGGCTAGGGTTTGCTTGTCAATAACGAAACGGTGTACTAGCAAAAGACAACTCGTTCCGTGATAGACAGTTTCGTCATTGCACTGGGGCGAGCCTGTCAAGTAATCGTACACGGTGCCGGCTCTCAATTCCAATTCCATAAACGCTTGGTCAACGCTAATCAACTTCTTTAAGGTCTCTTTGCCCGTGGCGTTGTTCTTCATGAACCTCTCTATAAACGAACACTGACCGACAAATGAGCACCAGGCGACCACGGCCACCACTACCATTCCCTTAGAGATGTTGTGCATTTTTGAAAGACGGATATTCCACTAGGTCTGCACGACTAGAGCTGTAGGCAGCAATGAATAAATTTAAGCTCGAACTTAAGGCATACAACGCGGCCGAATCCACAAAACGACTAAGTCAACAAAACGAAGAAGCTACTTCGGTGTTTTTGCAATCGAAAAAACAGCATGTGTGCTTACTCAGCAGATGTATTGAGCTCTTGGCTATGTAGGCGTTGTCGTCGTTTGTTTTTCAGTGAACACTTGTTAAAAAGTAATAAAAAATACAAAAAATGAGTCTGACACGCACCGTTAACGAATTTCGCAATAGGTAAACCGCGTAGCACTGACAAATTTATTAAAGGAAAAATTCACAAAAAAAAAAGATGAATTATACCATACAACCATGAATATGATAAATCATACCCAGACAGCAAATTAAACATGGTGAACATTATTGGAAAATCCGTATAATTACAATACTACTTGTAATAAGTAAACGGGATTCAGTTTTGTAGCTGGGAAGGGGTGGGGTTGCACAGAATTTATGGGAAGGGAAATAAGTTCAATTAAAAGATTACTTAATGAACAAAAACAAAATACTTCATTAGAACGTATAAACTAACTGTTAATATAATAAACAGCTGTAATAAAATAATCAGCTGTATAATAGGCTATGGGAACTTTTACAAAATCATATCCACTATCCTACATATGTTGTTTTGTACATGTTAAAAAAAATTATAAGGATGTTTTTTCTAAAAATATTTATTACTTATAATCCTTTAAAATTTCCATAAATTTAATCTTTTACTTTATGACTAGGTTTTTTTTGTATTTAATTAAGAATTGAAAATATAATTATACAGTTATGTATATTTACAGATCAAATTACTATAATTTAAAAAATGAGTAATATAAACCACAAGGCATTAATGATGTTATTTGGGTTTCTTTCTTAATTAATTTTAGTTCAAATATTATGAATTTAAACAATTTACATTATTATACAAGGTATGATTTATAAAACAACTTAATGAAATCTTGGTGCACAGCTTAAACAAGTAAAAATGTTGCGGAACAACCAATAATTATTGGTTCACAGTTATTGTTTGTACATAAAATTTATGTTTATTTTTATGTAACCTTCCAAGTAAAAAACAAAACGTTTTTCCACTTTACTTAGTACTTATATCAACAAATTCCTAACACAAAAAAATTGTTGACTTTATATCGTATTAAATATGTGTTATAACATTGTAGTCACTTTTACACAACGTAGCCAATTTTAGTTTTGCCCTTATGGACAAAAATTCTATTGTTATGAAAAGCTCAAGATGGCACCATATCTTTTATAAGAAAGAAGCTATATAACATTAAGTTGAGAAATTTGTAAAATTTTTGGCGTTGATTTTAAAGGAGAAGGGGTAATTTTTTTTTATATTTTGGCCTTAAAAAGTACCCTTCAAGTACAATATTTTGGTTATAGAGTTGAGAAATCGGTCCAGTGAGGTTTAACCCTTTAAAGCCTCATGTAACAATTCTCTAACAAATCTGGAAAAACCGGCCAGACGGCGCCCTAAGTATAATATTTGGTGCATTCAAATCGAAGTAACCCACTTTTGAACAAATTGGTATGTACGTTAAATCCTAGATGGCGTAACATATTGACTTATGTCACTATTTATTATTCGAGTTTTTTGGCTAATTTACTATTTTTTAAATATAGCACCAGAACTAATACCCAATTTGTTTTACATAAAAAATTTGTGGATAATCTCAATTATCTTAATATATCATTGTAGGGTGAAAACCAAAAATGATTCACATAGGTGGTTTTTTCATCAATTTAGAAAATCGTCAAGAAGTCGGGTGGGCTATGAAATTCAAAAGACCCTGTATTTGTCGATGTTAGGTGTACAATATGATAATGCAAGCTCAATATGTAAGCAAGTTATAGCAATAGCCTTTACATTTGAAATATTGATAAACAAACATTTATATTTCATTTTACCTATATCAATTAGAAATGAATTGCTCTGACTAGTTATATCTACATAGAATTCACCAATTACATTTGAATTTATTGGGTAGTCCAAAAATGGTAATGAATTAAACTTAACTACTTCTAAATATACATTTCCAACAGCCTTTTTAATAATGTCATTACTTGCTGACAAAAAAAACATATCTTTATCATTAACAGTACTTAATACTTATATTCCATTTTTCTAATTGTATGTGTTCGTATTAATTTATAATAAGATTAAGATTTTTTTTAATTAAAAATAAATATTGTCATGTTAATAAAAAAAAAAAATCATGAGTGAATACTTCTAGTGTACCTATCTCAGGATCTGAAATTTCTGGGATACCTTTAATAGCCTATTAGCTGTTGGTGCTTAAGCAAAAGAATAAAATATAAAATAAAAACCTAAATAATTTATGTCTCTTAGAAAAATCAGTATGTTTAATATACATAAATAGTATTTTGAGAAATTTGAATTACTATCTATACTTACTAAAAGTGTTAACAACTGTCAAGGGGCAAGATAACCAATTTGGTTCGGGTTCTATTGCTTTCATTAGCATCAAATCAGTAGCTATGTATTTAACAGGCCATTTACAATACATTTTCCCATCAAGTTTATAAGACCAGTTACTGGGCACGACAGAATACATATTTTCTTCTTCAAAAAGACCAACTAGCCACTTAAACAATTAATAAATTAATATGAATGCATGAGTTGCATAAAAATGAATGTGTAACTTATATATTCATTTTGTTTTAAACCTATAATATTTACAATGGATCAAAGTTATTATTACCTACTTATTATATTTTGTAGAAAAATATTAGATCATTATAATCACCAATCATGTCTTTCTAATCACTCTTTTTAACATTATGAGTAAGATCTCTATAATTAGATTGATTAACTTAAGTTTTATAATTAGTTTTATTATCATAATTATTATTATTGTAGCAATTTGTGTGTAAGCTGATTATTTTAGTATTAAATACAATACTAATTCCTATTAATGTTTTATTATTTGTACTTATACCACTTGTATTTATATTTTGTCCTCATTCTTTCTTAGTCTGATTCCTAATGTAAAAATGTTTGAAATAAAGTTAAAAAAAATTGGTAGGTCCCTATAATAAAAACGTTGAAACATGCATTGCTAGGGCGTAAGTACTCATAGACAAGTATACTAAGTACTTAAAACTTTTATATTCTAAAATTAATAATACAAAAAATAATACCTGTGTTTTTGACGAACCCATCTTGAATTTATTGTGCGTACACAGATACCTACGTTACAACATTCAACTTGACAATGCGATCACAACAGTGTTATACTCGCTGATGGTTTAAATTTTAACACAAGGTAATATTTATGGCGGGCGAATTGGTGATGAAACAAAAACCCGCCAGCGCTGTCCGTTATACAGTCTATTGACAATACTATATAAGTTGTTGTGATGTTGTATCAATTACTGTGAGATGTTCTTCGGCTAAAATCTTTATTTAAAGTCAATAACCATAATTGTTTTTATAGTTAAAATGTATTTATTTATAAACATAACTTATTTCGCGGTTGCAAAGAAGTTTAATTTTGTTTAATAACTTTTGTGACATATCATTAATATAAATATTGAAATATCTATTCAATGTTCCATATTTAACATCGCAGAAACGTTATACTATATGTGTACTCAGATGAACTTCTAAGCAATATATTAAACACAACACCCTGTGAATGTTAAAAATTATATGTTGTTTGTACATCGCATTTTTATGTGTACATTTATGAAGTGTATTAAATGTACCATAAAAGTTATGTAGTGATGTTTACTTTGAGAGCTAAAAAAACAATCGCTGAGACACATCTCAATGTTCTTAAACACATCTTAATCACAATGTTAATCATTTTGCACACAGGGGTTGTTTTATAAAATATACCTTGTTGAATTGTTTAAATTCATAATATTTGAACTAAAATTAATTGAGAAAGAAACCCAAGTAACATCATTAATGCCTTGTGGTTTATATTACTCATTTTTTAAATTATAATAAGTTGATCTCTAAATATACATAACTGCATAATTATATTTTTCAATTCTTAATTAAATACAAAAAAAACCTAGTCATAAAGTGAAAGATTCAATTTATGGAAATTTTAAAGGAATTTTAGTAATAAGTAATAAATATTTTTAGAAAAAACATACCTATAACTTTTTTAACATGTACAAAACAACATACGTAGGTATAGTGGATATGATTTTGTAAAAAGTTTTCCAAGATTTATAAATTTGAAAAAATATATTCACCGGTACGTTGCCGGGAAAAGAACAAAAAATTGGTTCCTTTTTTTTAATTTTATTTATAATTCACATATACAAATGGGTGAAATATACAAATTAAGACATGTCCTAATCTGTTGTATACGTTTTTTTTTTTTTTTTACCATTATATTAATGGCTATCCCTGCATACTGCTGCCGGGTGGTCGGTTGCTGCTTTCGGCTTGGCTGAAGAAAAACAAGGCGTGGCCCACGTTCTGCTCCAGTGGTGATCCCATGGTAGGAATTTTGTTGTTGTAGCCGTCCGATTCGTATTTGCTCAGGTCTGTAAATCCCGACAGATGACCGTACTTTACCAAGAAGCTTTTGAATATTTCTTTGATATCGCTGTTGTAATTAATGTCCGGATTTTCTACTCTACAGTAGGTGTCGAAAATTGCAATGAGATTTGTCACGGGCGTCAAGGGTATATAGTGCTCTTCGAACTTGCGGTGGATAGCGTCCAACACTTGCCTCATTCGTTGGAAATGTTCGCAGTTCGGGTACAACGGGTTGGCCAACATCTTTAGGCTCAAATGGGCGAAACGACACATAATCGTCACACCCACGCTTTCCACCACGTTCAACGCCCTGACGACGGCTTCATAAGAGTACGGGTCGTCTTGGTCCGGCGGTGGTTCCGGATAGGCCTCCAAGTGTGCCAACACACTGCCCAGGGTTTGCTTGTCAATAGCGAAACGGTTGTTCGACAAAAGACAACTTGTTCCGTGATAGACAGTTTCGTCATTGCACTGGGGCGAGCCTGTCAAGTAATCGTACACGGTGCCGGCTCTCAATTCCAATTCCATAAACGCTTGGTCCACGCTGGTCAACTTCTTCAGGGTCTCTTTGCCTGTGGCGTTGTTCTTCATGAACCTCTCTATAAACGAACACTGACCGACAAATGAGCACCAGGCGACCACGGCCACCACTACCATTCCCTTAGAGATGTTGTGCATTTTTGAAAGACGGATATTCCACTAGGCCTGCACGACTAGAACTGTAGGCAGCAATGAATAAATTTAAGCTCGAACTTAAGCCATACAACGCGGCCGACTTCGCGAAACGACCAAGTCAATAAAACGAAGAAGCCACTTCGGTGTTTTTGCAATCGAACAGCATGTGTGCTTACTCAGCAGATGTATTGAGCTCTTGGCTATGTAGGCGTTGTCGTCATTTGTTTTTCAGTGAACACTTGTTAAAAAGTAATAAAAAATACAAAAAAATGAGTCTGACACGCACCGTTAACGAATTTCGCAATAGGTAAACCGCGTAGCACTGACAAATTTATTAAAGGAAAAATTCACAAAAAAAAAAGATAAATTATACTATACAACCATGAATATAATATATCATACCCAGACAACAATTAAACATGGTGAACATTATTGGAAAGTCCGTATAATTACAATACTACTTGTACTAAGTAAACGGATTTCAGTTTTGTAGCTGGGAAGTGGTGGGGTTGCACAGAATTTATAGGGAAGGGAAATAAGTTCAATTAAAAGATTACTTAATGAACAAAAACAAAATACTTCATTAGAACGTATAAACTAACTGTTAATAAAATAAACAGCTGTAATAAAATATTAAGCTGTATAATAGGCTATGGGAACTTTTACAAAGTCATATCCACTATACCTACTTATGTTGTTTTGTACATGTTAAAAAAAATTGTAGGTATGTTTTTTCTAAAAATATTTATTACTTATAATCTTTTAAAATTTCCATAAATTTAATCTTTTACTTTATGACTAGTATTTTTTTTGTATTTAATTAAGAATTGAAAATATAATTATACAGTTATGTCTATTTACAGATCAAATTACTATAATTTAAAAAAATGAGTAATATAAACCACAAGGCATTAATGATGTTTTTTGGGTTTCTTTCTTAATTAATTTTAGTTCAAATATTATGAATTTAATCAATTTACATTATTCAACAAGGTATATTTTATAAAAAGATACCTTAATGAAATCTTCATTGAACTATAACGATTGTAATAGACAATATAATATATTATAGCCATATACTTTTTCTGGTGCACAGCTTAAACAAGTAAAAATGTAGCGGAACAACCAATAATTATTGGTTCACAGTTATTGTTTGTACATAATATTTATGTTTATTTTTATGTAACCTTACAAGTGAATAACAAAACGTTTTTCCACTTTACTTAGTACTTATATCAACAAATTCCTAACACAAAAAAATTGTTGACTTTATATCGTATTAAATATGTGTTATAACATTGAAGTCATTTTTACACAACGTAGCCAATTTTAGTTTTGCCCTTATGGACAAAAATTCTATTGTTACGGAAAGCTGAAGATGGCACCATATCTTTTATAAGAAAGAAGCTATAGAACATTAAGTTGAGAAATTTGTAAAATTTTTGGCGTTGATTTTAAAGGAGAAGGGGTAATTTTTTTTTATATTTTGGCCTAAAAAAGTACCCTTCAGGTACAATATTTTGGTTATAGAGTTGAGAAATCGGTCCAGTGAGGTTTAACCCTTTAAAGCCTCATGTAACAATTCTCTAACAAATCTGGAAAAACCCGCCAGACGGCGCCCTAAGTATAATATTTGGTTCATTCAAATCGAAGTAACCCACTTTTGAACAAATTGGTATGTACGTTAAATCCTAGATGGCGTAACATATTGACTTAGGTCACTATTTATTATTCGAGTTTTTTGGCTAATTTACTATTTTTTAAATATAACACCAGAACTAATACCAAATTTGTTTTACATAAAAAATTTGTGGATAATCTCAATTATCTTAATATATCATTGTAGGGTGAAAACCAAAAATGATTCACATAGGTGGTTTTTTCATCAATTTAGAAAATCGTCAAGAAGTCGGGTGGGCTATGAAATTCAAAAGACCCTGTATTTGTCGATGTTAGGTGTACAATATGATAATGCAAGCTCAATATGTAAGCAAGTTATAGCAATAGCCTTTACATTTGAAATATTGATAAACAAACATTTATATTTCATTTTACCTATATCAATTAGAAATGAATTGCTCTGACTAGTTATATCTACATAGAATTCACCAATTACATTTGAATTTATTGGGTAGTCCAAAAATGGTAATGAATTAAACTTAACTACTTCTAAATATACATTTCCAACAGCCTTTTTAATAATGTCATTACTTGCTGACAAAAAAAACATATCTTTATCATTAACAGTACTTAATACTTATATTCCATTTTTCTAATTGTATGTGTAAGTTATTTCTTTTTAAAAATTGGGTATTCAACAAAAGAATTACTTTCAATATTATTTTGTTCTACAATTCTATTATATTCATCTTGAAGAGGATATCTTGCATTTTTTAAAGTATTTTTAATATTTTGTAAATAATTTTCAAATTTGAAAGCGCTAAATGTGTCCAATGAACCATGTATTTTAACAAAATGAAATATATGAATTAACCCATGAACGTTGTATGTGATGTATTCCTCACCATAACGTTCTGCATATTCTATCACAAACTGTCTTAGTAAATTATTGGCCAACTCATTATAAGTAATACGTGTTTCGTTGGACACGAGTAGTCGAATTGCACAATGCAACAACATAAAATGTTAATAAATTGTCTTTTGTAATTTCCCCTTTTAAACAATAGGGCCTGAATACAGCAAAAAGGAACGGAATTCTACCGCCTTCCAATACTCGAGTTCTTCTAAAGAACGAGATAGTCTGTAAATTCTTTGGGTGAAATATGATTTTAAATGTTCGAGTTCTGAAGATATTTCATTTGTTACAAATCTGGAAGTGTAGTTAAATTATTGAAATTAATATTATGACCATCAGACATTTTAGGTGTAGACTCTATGACTTGGATAGTTTCCTGAATATCCTGGAATCTTGTTTTAGGTACTGCCACTTCTTTGGCTGGTAAAATTGAGCGCTTTTCAATTATTACCCGTTCAAATTGTCTTCTTGACATTGATCACAATGATTTTCTTTTCTTTAACTGCATTCAATTTGATTTTTTTTTACATTAAGGTGGATATCAAAATATGATTATAAAAACAAAATGTTAACAGGTTTTCTCTCATCACTACCTTAAAAAAATAAAGACACATATCTAAAGAATTCCTCTCTAATATTAGAAATGATTGATTTAACTCTGAATCTAATAATTAAAAAGCATAAGTACGCCGTAAAATTATAATAAAGAATCGTTTAGTGTGGAAAAACTCACTGTCACTACCATGTCGAAACCACTCTTTTAAATTTTCTTCAAAGGTGATATCAGTGAAACTGAAATTACTTCTACCAACATCTAAAAAATAAATATAAAAGATATCAAACAATAGTTAAGCAGCATAGATAGAAATATACACGGAATATTTAGAAACCTTATTACTAATTAGATATAATAAATTTTACCTTTAATCATATTTATCAAGTTAAGATTTTCAAGACGGAAGTTGTTTCGGAAGCCAGTCCATGAACACTGAGAGGACAGCTCATTAGTAAATAAACGCTGTAAAATACGTTTGACAAAGTTTTTTAAATGTTTTCCGCCTACTGTTGTGATAAAACTTTTCTAAAACAAAATAAATTATTGATTTTAGTTAATTTATAACAACGATTCAATGAAATAAAAACATAAGTAAGTATAAATACCATTTTCCCACAAAATTCTGGATTATTTATCAATTTATTTTCAATTTGTAGAACAGATTGAAAATCCTTTAAAGGCAACAAAGAGTAAAATTCTTCATATGACGAATCCGGGTGTATTAGTGATGTATTTGATGTTTTATCTTTTAACATTTTTTCAACTCTGTCCATTCTTGCATCAATTCGTCTTATATATGCATAAATACTTTGTAATAGACTTCTACTTTGTATGTCTCCTATTCAAATGAAGTTATTTAAGGATGTATTATACATATAATATATATGTAATGTATCCGGCTCTACTCATAAATTCTTTAATAAATAAATAAATGACTTAAACAGAATTTATATAAAACTAACTAACAGACCAATCATTAAATTTAGTATTTTTCAATAAATAAAATGATACTTAATGATAATTGTCTTTTAAAAATTAGTCTTAATAAACCATTTATTATGATTTAATATAATTGATTAAGATTCAGAAGCTAAACTATATTTAAGCTGAAACAACTATTTGTAACGTAGCAACACACCACACGGCTGTACCGAATAGGAAACACAACGACCGAAAAACCACTAACAAAAAATCGGCCAATGGGATTGCGGGGTTTTTATGAAAACAGCATAAATACCGACCGCAATCCCATAATCGGTACAGTCTGCTTCCAACCATCCGGGTATCATTATACACTGGATCAACTGGAAGCCGACACCTCAAGTATCAACTACCAGCATCGTCGACAACTCCAGTATCAACCACCAGTAGCAGCGAACGGCATTTGCAGCAGCCGCACCATCCACAGCCGTACCAACGACAGCGGCACCCGCAGATTCACCGCCGACCACTTCCGGTTACAACGACGGACAACCTGAATAATCCGACTACGAAAACCGTCCTTCTCAGGGCGAACAATTGAAAGAGCCACTTATTCGAGTTGCGCTCTCCTCCCGGTGAATCAAGTCCGTAGGCGCTTATTAGAGCTGCCCTGCGTACCGGCGAGTCACCCCCATCATACCCCCCACACATTTATACTTCCGGTAGGAACATAGATTCCCCTTTTGTGAGGCCATTTCCCCAGTGTGAGTGGCTAACTTATTCGAGTCCTGCCCTCACATATACTTACTGTAATAATTCTTGCTTCTATTTAATAAAAACAACCGTGATACCATACGCCAGCATTATTACATTAACGATACGGCGAAGCACCCGCATCATATTTTATAAAAAAAATTACTGGATTTACTTAAAAATCCTGTAAAATACATATTTGCTAATATCTATTTAACTACTTTTCTTTACCAGTGTCAGAGTCATCATGTTTTCGAGATATTTTTTTTCTTTTTCCTCTACCGAAGCTTCTTTCTGATTCTGAAGATAAAAATATTTCCCTTTCTTTTTTTTGAGCTTCTTCATAAGTATCTACATAAAGAAAATAATAATTATTTTTGTAAGTATTT